CTTTTTTTTTTTAATATAACTGTAAATTCTTTATTGTGAGCAAAGCCAGGTTACAATGCTAATGGTGGTACGTGCCAGAAGTGTGAATGTTCCTTGAATCCATTTGACATTGATGATTGGTTTTAAAATTGTCATGTTATGTCCTGATAATTCAATGATGCAAATCTGATAGCAGTACAGTGTTTTCCTTTGCGGTGTTGCCTTTTCTGGAGTGACTGGTTAACCTAGAATCAACCCTGTGCATTATAAGCAGTTGGACTAATCCCAAGGGCTCTGTGACTGTAGGGCTGTATTTGCAAAGGACACATCCCATTCTAATGTGACTTAGCATGCTGAGGAATACAAATATTGAGAGAGGAAAAAATATTTTATGAAGGGAAACAAATGATCAGTATTTAAAATAACAAAAACATCATACACTTGAGGTTAGTTACCGATAGGATAGAAATATAAGCAAATGAGAACACTGATGTAGTCTTTCAACTATAAGTAGCAAGGTCCAGGTTCTGCTTTCACCCATATTGCATTAAAAGTCAGCAGTAGATCATTTGCAAAATACTATTGGAGTACCTGATTTTATTCTGAACCTACAGGGGATAGTTTAGCTAAGGAAGTGTAGCAGTTTTGCCAGATGTTTTGGATGATAGGAATGAATTAAATAGAAGTGTTCAAGTTTGCGGATCCTTTGTTACATCGTACATACATGCTAACAAGGTGAAGAGATGTGAATTTACATCTGTAACTGTGTTTTCTATATGTAAAAACTTAAGAACTACTACTTTTTTTCTTACTTGCAGTACACCTTTCAGGAATTCAGACACCGAGACTGCTTTCTATTTGGTGAAGTTAGGTCATTGTAGGCAAGCAGATTGCTCAAATTTGGAATGCTTCTACTCATTTTTTGCTTGCTTTACTCCCTGTATATTTTTCTATGGCAAAGCCAAGCTTTTAGTACTGGCTTTAGTCCTTTATTGAGAATAGAGCTTGTACTAACAGGAGCCAGATTCTGTTTTCTCAGTGAGTACACCACTGTTGTTAATAATTAGGCAAGTCAAAGCTGTAGAATTTTCATTACATGTGATGATATACAGAGGATGAAGGTGGGCAGGATTTTTTTTCAGAGAAGTGAATATGATAGAATGGAAGGTATTTCTTTTTAAATAATTGACTTCTGTATATCAAAATAAAGTAATGCAAAAATCTATTTTAAAATCTAACTTACTGCCTATCTTTAACCAAGCTACAGAAATTAATTTTAAAATGCCTGTAGTTTCAGAGATTATGGTGCTGTGTTCGTACACTAAACGATGCCAGGATCCGACCTCGATGCTGGCTGTTGAGCGAAGTTGTCTGCCCCCTTTCATTGCTAGCACGTTCCCCTGCAATGATTTTGCTCTTTACCAGCTCAGCCAGGCAGTTCCCCAGGTAGAGTCTGGCTGGCCAGAGACTGCACCCAGCAGAGAGCTTGGAAGAGGCCGTGCTGTTCTGCATGGATGCAAGGTGGTGTGTACCAAATGTCTTGAGAATGGGTCCTGGCATTTTTCTGTATTAGAGTAAAGGCATCTTCTGTTTCCAGGCCCCCAATGTTATGGCATTGTATTGATTTAATTTCATCCTGACTCTTCCAAACCAGTGAAAGCTATTTTTAGTTTTCAGTTTAAATTATTCTGTAGAATATCCTTTCTTATTTGAAAACTCATTCCACCCACCAAGTAATACCACTTTTCAAAACAAACAACAAAAAAATACATCAAGAGTTTAAGTCTTTAATCTTCTTAGCAGGAATATTATCTTGGTACTTGAACTGTGATTCCCTTTCTCGCTCTCCTATCAATACTGTTTCTTGCAGTTACTCACCTGCAGAAGGTATGTTATATATTAGGAACATTTCCTTTTCTTGATCAACACTTGTTGTTTTAGGTGGCTTAATTAACTGGCTTTCATTAAACAATACTCTTGTCTGCATTTAAATTGGTACTGTTCTTCTCAAAGGTAAAACAATCATTCACATTGTATTACATAATATCAAAGTAAGACATTAAATTTTGTGAGAAGTCAAGGAACTTTACTGCCTTAAAATGGTGATGAAATTTAGATAAAATTTTTCTTTTAGAAAAGATTTTCAAAATGAAAAACTAGGTTTATGTTCAAGACTGTCTCTCATTTTTCCAAATGATTTTGTGTTGAGTAATGAATAATATTTTGCTGAAGCTTTCTTTGGCCTTTAGTCAAGTACTATAAATGAATTCATTAATGGGAATTATTTTTGGGCAGCAGTAGTGGGTGTGTGTTTAAAGTCTTACGGTCACGCATGATACTTTGAGCTTCAAGTGTAGCCATCTTTTCATTAGTAGTTCTAACCTAAGAGGTAGTTTGGCTTAAAAGAAGCAAACAAACAAAAGAAAAGCCATTATCTATAAGCCAGTCTAGTATTACTTTTAAGATTGCATTCTAGGCGGTCTGAATGAGAAGCCGTCTTCTTGGTATTATTGAAATAAACATTGTCACAATAGAAATTGACAACTTTATTGCAGAGGTTTACTTGAATCATTTAGGTCAATATTTTTTATTCTGCTTGGTTTTAATAGGTCATAAAAGCAAAATTTGTTTTCATGAGAAAGATTAGATTGAGATGTTTAATAGAAAACTGAGAAGCTTTCCCAGCCTGAAGTTAGCACAAATGCAGTATGCCACGAAGACAAACATTTCTTGTTCATTTTTCTCACTCGAGCACCAGTGGGACTGTTGCAGAAGACAAATAGGATTTGTGTCTAAACAGTAAACAATGCTGAGCATGAGGGCCATGAGCACCATTGCATATTACACAAGTAAAAGCACAGAGACATTATTTCTTTAACATCAGCATTATGTTGGTTTGGCATATGTAGCTAACCTATGGATCTACTTTTTGGCAAAAGCAGAGAGTGTGAGAGGAGAACAGCAACAAGGAAGGATAGGAGCTATGATAGTAAAATTACTCAAGTTTGTTTGGTTCTTGATAGTAAACCATTTTATGTGTATTAATTAAGAAGGGGCCAACTTTAGGAAGTGGTGTTGGAATATATAAAATAGTATTAGCATAAATGTTAGATATACTACCCTGAACATGCTGCAGTAAATAGTAACTAACAATCATGAACATATTTTCAACATTTAGCACTGGAAAAGTAAGCATAGCTAAAGTTTAGTGTGAAGAATTAGGCTGTAATTTAACCCTTTCCAGCATTTATTATAAGCAATGTGTTTTGTCTGTATTGGACTTTGAAACTTTTTAATTGGCTTGTGCCTTGGAAATATGTCAGTTAATACCTGTTGTCACCCTACAAAGATCTCTTAAGTCTGTGAGGCAGTATAGTGCATGCTGGTAAAAGCTAAGAGGTTCTGATATTTAAGCATATGCTTCACTGTAAACAGTAGTTGCGCTGGCTCTAGGGACCCTCTATTTTACATGTTTAATTTAGCAGTGTTCTTGGTCAGAAACCTGTTCTTTTGAGAAACAGTGAAAATGTTACTTGTGGGTTGCATATTTTCTTTCTGTTTCATTTTTAGTAGACATGGATAACAACTGTGAAAGGAATGAAGAAATAGGACCCATTATTTACTTTCTGTGAAAACCTTCGGTATTGAATCTCAAATTATGGTGTCTTTCATCCACGTGAAGATTAAACCTTCCTAAAACACACAGAAAGTAATAATCAGGGAAGTTACCATAATAGCATCAGCCTCACTCACCACATTATTATTTAATATATTTTAGTTGAAATGTGTGCTGTTCTGGATATCATTATCTTGAAAATTCAAAGTAATTAAAGATTTTATTTTTAAAGCAGGCATACCAATAAAAGCATTCCACAGGATGTTGATAGCTGGAATAAAAATGTCTACATATCTTCTGAGTGCTTTATTAGCAAGGGAAGGGGGGGAGGGTAGCTTAAGGAAGGATCTGGTTGTCTTGACATTTAAGCTTCAAGTAGATAACTGTCAAAGCAGAGAGGGGATTGCTTTTGAAATGTAGATAATGCGGTTTTTATGAATTTACATGATAATATAAATGTGAACCAGGTGTGAAATCATGGTCTATGCAGTAGTGACGGACATTGAAATCATAGGTAAAAGAACCTGGACAGAGCCTACGTTACTTACATTCAGCAGAGGACTTGGTGGAAACCTAGATGGATTATCCAGTTTCGATTTGCGAGGTGTTGGGAAGTCTCCCTGTTTTCCTTTCAGACTGCAGCTCCTCTTTGTCACTTTGAGAGGTTTAGTCTGAACCAGCGGTGTTACCGCTTTTTACGCATGGGTTTGCTCCAGACGGATGATTTCTTGCCTCACTGTCTATCAGTCTTTCTGCCAGTTGTTTTCAGGGAGTCTGCAGCAGAACCTGTAGGGATTTATTGCCTGGAGGTCCATGGTAGCAGGTTGACTAGTACATTACAAAATACGGTGCTTGATCACAGCAATAAGCTTCTCTCAAGGGTTTGTTGTAATGAATGTTGAAAATTGTTTAATTCTTTTTTGTTCTGGGTGTGTATGGCTGTCCATACTGTAGACCAAGAGTCTGAACAAAGCCATGCAGTAAGCAGAACTCTCAAGCTCCTTTCCCTGTGCCACGTACACATCTTCCTCAGTTGTTCTGTAGGTGACAAAGACTGACCTCAGGTAGATGAAACTGGGCTCTGTAGGCTACCTCTCTAGTTACTGTAGAGTCTACAAGGAGGAATGAGGAGACCATCAGTATATTTCTGGTTTATAACTGCCCATCTTTCTCTCCACTGACTACAAAGAGATGTTGAGGGAAGCTTATCTTTACAGTTTAAATTTGGACTTTTTGAATTTCCCTCTATGTCATCTGTCTGTTTTGACACCAATTGCTGTCAAATCTGAGACCATCTTAGCAGTACAGAGGTTTTAATAAAAATAAACAAAAAATATTTTAAGAATTGTCTTGTAATACTTCATATTCAAGTTCTTTTCAACTTTGGTCTTCTTCCTTTTGGCAGCACCAGAACGGAGGCATTCCCTTCTGGGTAGCCCAGATGTCATTGATACTGCTCCAAGAAGAAAGCGAAGACAAAGGACAGCAAAGCCTGCCGCCACAGGAGCTAAGAAGGCTATTCATGAGACAGAAGTGCCAGCCAAGGAAAAGTAAGCAGTTTTCAAATTTGTTGAAATGTTTTTATATCTACAGATGTGGGAGGGTTTGTGGTTTGGGGTTTTTTGTGTTTTCTTATGCAGTTTCATATTTCAGATCAAGTACCGTTGTGTTGCATTCTGTGTAGTCATTTACAGTAATTTTGCCCAACTTTGAATAGATGTGAATGATTACATTGCCAGGCCCAATGACTTATTGATTTTAATACACCTCTAAAGTGACAATTGTAATTTTTTTTCTTTAATTGACCTAGATAACTTTAAGCAAATAGATTGAAGCCTACTAAAACGTTGTTCTGTATGTTACTGCATAAACTTGCAAGCAAAGAAGGATGTATTTACAGCAAGTGTCAAGCTAAGATGGACAGCTTCAGCTAAGTTGTGTCACAGAAAGTAGTCACAGTGTAAGTGTCTTCACGGTGAGGGTGGTCAAACACAGAAACAGGCTGCCCAGAGAGGTTGTGGAGTCTCCATGTGTGGAAATATTCAAAACCCAACTGGGCATGGTCCTGGGCAACCTGCTCTGGTTCAGAAGGGAGGTTGGGCTAAGCAATCCTTTCAACCTCACCATCCTGTGATTCTGGTTTTGTAATTTCAGTGGAAATCAATTCACAATAACATTTTTAATAGAAGAGAATAGATTTGTTTTGGAAATGAGATCAGTGGGAAGAAAAAAGAATTCACTCTTAAACACAAGGGGGGCAGAATTTATAACACTTAAGGAAAGTCTTTTTCTTCTTATATCACTCTCAACTTTTGGAAATATTTTCACATGATCTGGGAGGTGCTTAGCTATGCATAGAATTACCTCAGAGCTGCAGTACGATTGGTGGTATTTTCTTCCAAAGCTGATCTTTTTTTTTTTTTTTAAGATCTATGATAAGTTAGATTTCAAAATACTTGTTTTCTCTTTTCATTTGTAATATCCAATGGATAATAAACTGTTTAAACAGACATGGACACAAGTAGACTACAAAGACATTTCCCATGATTAGCAAAGATTTCTATTTAAATCAGCAAGAGAATTGCCTTATTTTGACATAGAAGGTTGTGGCTTGATGCCAGCTAGGAATATTTAAACTCACAATCCTGTTTTATTAGTAAAAAAGTTATATTTTTTTAGAATTGTCTAGAACAATGTCAAATTCCTCTCTTCTGTTCTTTTAGAGTCTAGTATATTACAATGGACAATGCCCTTTCCCCATTGTACATAGTCAGTTTGATTTTGAAAGTCTGACTCTGTTTGCCTGAAAAACAATTTCACTCTTTTTAGTATTGATTGTGGAAGGAAAACCTACGGAGGCAAATGATTGCAAAGGAGAATATAGAGGTCTTGGGCTGAGTAATCCTCACTGTATGAGTATCTGAGCCCTTTGTGTAGGGGAAGGACTGAGACGATATTGATATTTTTTGTTTTAATTCCTTTAAGTAAGGCAAATTTTAGAAAAAACAGAGCAACGTAATGTTTTTCATACTGTGCAAAGCATTTCTAATATGCTTACAGAATCAAATCAGAGCTGAATCCAGAAAGTGGCTCCTCTTCTTGCCTATAACATAATTAGTCATATTTGAAGCCTTACCATATGGAACATCCATTTTATCAGCCTCTATTCCCATTTTTCTTTTTTGCATTAAGTATGTATGAAATGTATTGTAAACAACTGCTTTGCACTACAGGTCACAACATTGCTTGGCATGTGACATGCCTTTCAGTACGGTGAAGGTGTATCTGACAATAAAAGATCCATGTTTCTCTGTGATCCCATGGCGACTTCAGAAATCAAATGTGATATTGCCCAATACTGGACTATGTTTTTTAACCCTTTCTTTAGTTAAAAATACAGTGGCAGTGCTAATTTTTATATTAAATAAGAAGATATTAGATCTCCCCATTTACCTGGAACATTACAAAAACCGAATTGTAATAATTTCCATTTTGCTTATTATTTTTGTCAGTGTCCCTTCTTAGTTCTTGGGTTTTGAACTTCATTTTAAGTCTTTTGCCAGCTGCTAATCAAGCTTTCAGTCAATTTGCTTGGCTAATAATTTTCACTTCTCTTCAGCCTGTCAAAAGTAGGGAGATGTAGAATTAGTATCATAATTCAGTTCACAAATATAGTTGTTTCTTTTTATGAAGCCTCTTCAGTAGTTTGTACTGACGGAAGGCTAGATCCTACACGATGTGAAAGGCTTTATCTTAAGCTCATGGTACTTTGGGGTCCTGCCCAAAATGTTTTCCAGTATTGTGTCACTTGGCAAAAAATTACTAATCCAAGCAAACCACCCCAGCCTGCTGGGGCGGCAGGGAGGAAGTTAACCTCTAAATTCCTTCACCTTTGGAATTGCTCCATCACAAATATGGAAGATGTACAGCCCTTGAAAGCATGTCATGCTTTTCTGTTTGGCAGGAGGATCAAATGACAGATTGTGATCACATTTGCAAATGCACGAATGAGTTCTTATTTCTGAGCTCTCCTGCACAGACCTGCAGAAAGATTTGATTCTTTACTTGTAATGTAAATATTTTAAGGTGCTATCACATAAAATTGTATCCCACCGTTCTTGCTTTAACAAACTAAAGCTTATTTAGAGTTATTTTCCATTTGCAAGTTTTGCTGACATCATCAGTGCTTGTTTCATATTTGCCAGGCAATGAAAGGGCAGTTGCAAACCAGGCATCAAGAGCATAATGCTGTCTTTATATTGTTGCATCATAAGTCAATTGATACAAGATCCTAAATCAGAAGAAAAAAATACCTCTTTATTGACGGAGAGCATCCAAGTTTTTCACTTCTTTTTGGCTTTCAGATTGTTTTTTGAAAATACAGTGCTTTTCAACACAGTCATTGTTATCACATAATAGGAATTATATCTTAACTTTTATATATTTTTCCTAAGATTTTAAAGTATGGTAAGAAAGTACTGTTTATGCTTAAAGTTAAGAGCATCTAAAGTAAATACTGAGTCATGAAAAATGAAAGGATTCTATTTCCACAAATATTTTAGATTTATGGATGTTGAGGCTAGTTATGTAGCAATTCTCTAGTCCTTTGGAATGGAAATATATTTTTAGATATGACCAAGAATACTGAGAAGAATGCAAATAAAAATCTGTTTAACATAGAAATTAGAGCAAAAGGAGTACTGCCTTTCTCATGCTTTGTGTGTGGGTGCAGTGGCAGGAAAAGGACTTGAATTGAATTTATCTGTATAGACATCTAGTATTAACTGTGACAATTTATTCAAGGACTAAATCAACAGTTTTAATGAAACTTGGAAATGTGCTTTGGATAATATTAAGCTTAGTGAAAGTAGTATAGACAGGAGATCAGCAAAGAACTGAACTAGGATTTATGGAACAAGGTTTGCTAAATGAACTGTTTAATTATTTGCTGAGATAAAGATGTTCTTTATGATAAAGTAGAAATCCAGAAAAATTAGTTGGTCAGTGAACTGCCAAGATTCAGGTTTATCCAGCTCTCTAGGCTGTTTTTCAAATTTGAGCTATCCAGTAAAAGGAAATGTTTCCTTAGGCAGACAGATGTTACATGTTGATAACAGTCAAACTATGGCTTGCAATTTACACATTTTTAAAATGTGACAAAGGATGGTTCTTACAGTTCAAAATATGATTGAGTCAGCAAGTAAAATAGAATTATTCTTATTCCAGTAAACTGTGATGGTATTCTTGAAGCTTTAACTGTAACTTAATATCTGGCAATTTCCTAAGGTGCAGAGCAGAGATAATATGTAAGTCAAGTTAAGATGCAAATTCTACTTTTTACAATTTGCATTTCATACTTGGAGGAGAAAAATTAATAAGAGCAATCCCAATCCACAGTTAGAAATTATGCTTATTGATGCATTACCCAAATCTCTCAGGGGACTGCACGTGAATAACACTATTAGCTATGTAGAATATGCATTCAATATAGAGGCTTAAGTGTATGGCCTGTCAGCCTGAATCCTATAAATAATTGGATGTTTCTATAATAATTTCACTTTAAAAGTATTGGAACCTATTTGAGAGAAGATAGTACCTACTGAAAATATTTTTTATATATAGTTTCATAAATTAAGCATAGTCATTGAATACAGAATACTTTGTGTGGCTTGTACAATCGATACTGACAGAGTACAGCTGAACCCAACCAGTGCTGGAGTCTCTATAACTAAAAAAAAGTAGATCAGGAAAAAGCTTCCTTTTCTAGTACAGCTTACAACTACTACTTTGTTTCCATAAGTAAAAATCTTTCTGCTTTGGTTTATCAAAATTGTTTTTATTTAAGGAGGTTAGAAAAGCAAAACCTTTTTTTCTGTCTGACTTATTTCTTATTAATAAAAGATCTAGTTTTATGGTCCTCATTCACGCGTGGGTTTCTTAGGACGAAGGCTTTACTGGATAAGACTCAAAATTCTTTAAGTTATTGTGTATGTATCAAAATGTAATCCATTCTGGCTGCTGTATAGTGTTTATAATTTCTTTGCTATTGAATGTGTACATACTGTTGAGGATGCATACAATTTCAGAAGTTGTTTGGGGGAAAGCATCTTAAATACAGGAAAAGCCTTATTATGGATGCAAATATGCTGGATTCTCCTGAGAATAAGAGTAGAGACAACCAAAAAAAGTTATTACAGAGAAAATGCTTCATAATTTTGAGAAGAAAAAGGAATAATTGTAATTCAGTTGACTGAGAAATAACAGGTATTATTTGCTTGCCTTTTCTGTAAAGAAATACATGTTTACACCAAGCACTGTGACTCTTGACAGTCAAAAATTTCAGTTTCATATGTATAAGTCTAGTTTTGTACATTTGATGTAGCTGTTACTGGGGGTTTTTTTAAATTGAAATTTGACTTTTGCTGGCTTGTTACTTCTTGCTTGATTGATAAAACTGAGTGACTGTCAGAATCAGGCCTACGTTTAAATTGAAGGAAGGAGATGCTTTCCCTTAACTTCAGTATGTTTTGCTGAAATATTGAGATGCAGT